CTGTGAATATCTGGTCTTTGGACATGTGAACGGAATGATTTGGGTCTCAGAAGAGACCGCGTGGTCAATTGTGAAACACCACTGGGACAGAGGAAGAGGGACAAGCAGGAAGCTGTTCCTTCTGTACCTTAACTATCTGCTGCGTGCCCCATACCCGTCCTGCTGTGTAACTGAGGAGCTGGAGTCAGCGTCGCCCAGGTGTCTTACCCTGAAGCGTGGTCTGGTTCAGCTCTCAGGAGCTGTCCAAGCTTGGGCCAGGTGCACCGCTGAGGAGAGCCAAGCTGGTGCTGTCTGCAGCGTAGAGGAGCTGGTGTGTTGATGTCAGCGCCCTCCCTGCGCGCAGCAGGGTCCTCAGCTGCCTGAGCTGAGGGAGGTCTCCTTTAGCTCACGCGGTTGGTGCCCTGCTGCGTTACGCCGGAGACCCGGGTTCGCGCCCCAGGTGTGGCAGGGGGCACGACCCCGCGCGGAACCGTGATGATCACAGCAGCATGGGTGGTCAGTAGGGAACCAGAGTAATTCATCTGCGGGGACAGGAACTGAGGCTCGACCAGCGGTGTAAAGAGCTTCCCAACCCTAACTGGGGTTCAAAGGTCAAGCTCCTGGAAAACCCACTTCTTCCTTCAAGCCTGTGGGAATATGAGCTTTATTATCGTGGTGATTAATAATAATAATAACAATAAAGGAATGGATATAGAGTAATTTCATATATATTACAAGGGCAACTGACTCAAGTATTCAGCATTCTCCATGGCACTGACAGAGGCTTCCTCTGAGAAATTGTTGCATCAGGTAGCTAAGGACAACAAAATGAGTTTGTTGGGCTAAGTGACCTCTTCTCGTTTGTACTCTTTCTTGTGTTTCTACACAGCCGTGAGACTGAGATGGGGGTGACGAAAACACATCACTAGTTCTGAAACGTTCAAGATCATCTGGAAATCACAGAATGTGGTCACATACTTTTTTTTGAAGGCTGGGAAAGAAAACAGTCTGGTTTGAAGAGAAAAATAAGCACATGGTGTGTGTGAGAAAGTTGAGCTACGCAAGGATGAAACAGGCACATACTTTGAGGCTGCAGGGAAAAAACATGCTGTAGCAATTAAAGGCCAGATCTGCATGGGAACCTCTTCCATTTTCAGGGCTGTGACAAGTTCCTTACATTCTTTACAAACAGCTTCTCCCTGAGGGGCGAAACAATGAACAGTACAGCATCCTTCTGCTCTGCATTCACAGGGTCTTGCAAAAGTTTTCTGACCTTTCCAATGCTGTCCCCATCTGTGAGCTGCAAATTTTGAAATAATAAGTTGAATTAACTTGTTTTATTCAATTCTTGAGTCTCCACACCGAAGACTTCTAATGACAAGACATGTTGCAGTGAAGGTCAGCAAAGAGAACAAATGAAATCTGAAATGTTGATTGGGTATTTATATTCAGACCCACAAGCTCTGTATTTTTTACTTGCCCTGTGAAGTGCTTTGAGAGGCATACTTCTAATTGGAAGATGGATGGATAACTTTTGAACAATGGCAGCCCAGTGTTGCAACAGTGAACACCGCTGCTTCCTACTGTACATCCAAGGTCCTGGGTTTGATTCTGCACTGGGGCACTTTGTAATGTTCTCTGTGCTCTGGTGTCTCTACACTTTCCAAAGACCTGCTGGCTTGGTGAATTGACGACTCTATGTTGACCCTATTAATATTCATCAACTGAACTCAAGTGGTGTAGAAGAATAAATTCCTGCGCCTGTAGTGCGCACAATACATGTGAAGTAAAGTTCAGCAGCATGACTTTGTCAAACCAAGAGGAAGACACAATTACACAATAAAAAAAGCTTTTATGACAAGCTAAGTCTTTAAGCATTCTTGTTAATTATATAAAAAAGTTCCATTTATGTATGTACTAACCTGTAATAGTCATCTGCAATACAATTCAGTATATTAATTTTTAATTTACTTTATTGATGCAAGGTCATCCACGGCATTCAAGGAGAATTACATTAAAAGTAATCACCAAGCTATAAAACAAATAACGGTTTGAAAGTTGCATGGATTAGCATTCAGATGAATTCCACACGATGCAATAAATCAAACATAACAAAAATCAATACAGGACATGGTTATTAGGATGATATGAAGGATTATAATTCCCCTGGATAGCAAATGTGTCAGAATTAAAAAGAAAAGAAAACCTGTGTTTAATCTGATATTCCAGGGTGGGAAATGTGACTTAGTGCTGTAGCAGTGATAGTGATGCCAGGTGCAGACTAAGGTCATAAGATGATCAAGGTTAGACTGGATTCCCAATTCACTTGAAGCAGCTTGTGTCTTGCTCTGCAAGATGCTACTGAGGATTAATTAATGGTCAAAAATGCAGCTACCGAATATGCACTTCGTATTAACTGATTAACCCCTGGGTGTGCTGTACCTTGATTATTCTCTCTTCTTTCTCTTTCCTGACCCGGAAGTTTGTGTTTTATCATGGTGAGGTGAAAGAGACATTCTCTCGCCCCGGACCGCATGTAAAGTCCCAGTGTTAAAGCCAGAGTGGGGCTTCACATTGCTGCAGCCCTGGCTGGGCAAATGAAGCCCTGTGTGGCTCAGTGCTGGCCTACAGAGTCCCAGCGCGCTTCCTGTCTCTTACTGGTTGTACATTACTGGCCTCTGACCTTGACCACAGGCCCCCAGGGGACAGCGGAGCAGTGTGATTGGAAACATGTGCCGTGCAAAAGGGAGCCCATTCCTGGGAAACTGCTCCTGTGTTGACGACAGCAATGGATGCCTGTCGGTGAATGTGCATGCGTGCACAGGCTGGGTGAGCCTGTGACTTTTCCCCTGGTGCGGGGAACAGGAAGGGGGTGACAAGACAGATCCCCTGGTCCTCCGTGATCCAGGCTGGGTCTAAGTTATAGTCTCCCGCGGGGGCTGTAGGTATCACTAAGGAGTCCCAGCCGGAGGGAGGTCCTTCAGGGTGATGGTCTGCTTCCTGTTGACCTGTTGAACTGCCCGTTCTGCCTCTGCTCCGCTTATCAGACTCTGTCCTTCCCTCAGGCACTGAGGCTCCCCATCTCAGTGGGTACTCTGCCTTTCTTATTGAGAATAGCTTTCTCCCTCCATGTCTCCTGCATGCCCCAGGGGTGCGCTTCTTCTTCAGCTAGTTTATGTGATAAAGCACAAGCAATTATGGGGCTACTACTGCCTAACACTCAACATTTACTGTACATTTACATTTACATTACAAGCAGCACCTTTGAGGATTAAGAAGGCTTTCTAAAAAGCATGCAGTTGCTGTATATTATCAGTATGAATATGAATCAGCATTTGCCTTTTAACAATGCTTAGGAGAAGGAATCACCTTACAACTTCTTATTTTGCCTTTTGTATATATAAAATCAACATCATCAGCTAGAACTTCTAGCACAATCAGAGAAGCAGTAAAAAAGCTATTTGAACTGTATTTCCCAAGTCTTGGTCTATTTGATGAGGTACATGTAAAATTAAAATGAATGATCAGTTGATTTTCTTCAAGGTACACTCCGATTATTGTCCCATGATACTGTTTAGTCATTTCAGCTGCACAGGTGGGATTTTATACAGTATTATTGCTCACTCTAAAAAACAAAAGATGCCTTTAACGGTCTTTGCGATGCAGAGCCTTGGGTGTTTATTGCTGCTATTAGATGCCCACTGTGAGCGCCACTCCACCGTTGCTGAGAGAGTGGAAACTGACAGGCTTGCTGTGGCTCATGGTCATGGCACATGTGCTCCTTCAGGCCTTCGAGGTGAATAATGTGCAGCAGAGGAATCAAAGGAAAGACGCACTCCAGGTTCCAACTCGTGGGGAAATCTTTACCTTCTGACTCCCACCTGTTTTGGGCGAGAGGAGGCTGCCAGGAATCAGAACAATTACAAACATCCTCATGAGCTCAATGGGCTAAATGTTTGTCAGCAGTTAGGTTTTATGCAATATGAGATAATATCTGGTCTTGTGAAAATCTCATTCATTAAAGAAGCAGTGCGAAGTCACGGAGAAGACAGGAGTGTTTTTGTTGTGATTATGTGGGCTGATGGTAAAGAAGGATGTAGTCTTTTTCTCTTTCACTGGAAAGGCAGCCAATTGTTATCTGGAATAAATCCAGTATTTGTTTTCTGTCTATCGGTCTTTTCCATAATCCTAATGCCTAATCAAAGAAAATGGAGATTTGTTTCTTGCTCAGAGCCGAGCAGAGCTGGGCCTGTTCAGCTCTGGGACAGGAGACCTCTGTGGAAATTCTAGTTGCAGCTACAAGTGGTGTCGGCGGACCAGTAGGTGGTGCTCTTCACTCTGGGTGAAAATTTCCAACTAACCCAGTTTGACTGCTGTAGTTACGGAGAGTTAAACTGAGGTCCTGAATTCTTTGCCATTAACAATTTCCTGTCCATAGAGTATGGGTGTTAACCGTGGTATCCATGTTATCCTAAAAGTTTCCCTTTAATTCGTCTGGAACAGTAATTTTTCTCTCCGTCCCCTGATCTGCTCTGCAGTGGGGCTGCTGTGTGTCACCCAGGCAGAGCTGCCCTTCACAGAGGGATCCCGCCTTCACGTGAAGCACGCTGGGATTGTTAGGGATGAGCAATACCACATATATAACACCGTTTATTTCTATGAGTATCACTACTATGCTCTGTTCAATTGTAGGTTTGTTATCTTGCAGTATCTTGACGTACTGTAATGAATGATTGGAACTGTTTGTTTTCTCATTTGCATTCTATTTCATTGCAGTGAAAACCACAGGAGATTCCTGCAACAATAGCAGACAGTAGAGTAGAGAGAGAGTAGAGTAGAGAGAGTCTATATTATCCCCAAGGGGCAATGTGTTTTGCAGCAGCAGGCAATTTAAAGAAAAAAACACCCTAATAAACAATACGCACGTACTGTACCTGCGCAGTTCATATCTGCTGTATCGATCTGCAGTTGGAGGTTTCTTGACGGCGCTCTCCCCCTCTCTCTCTCTCTCTGGCCACAAGAACAACGAGAACGAGACGGCGCTGCACTGTGCGGCCCAGTACGGCCACTCGGAGGTGGTGGCGGTGCTGCTGGAGGAGCTGACGGACCCCACCATGAGGAACAGCCGGAGCGAGACGCCGCTGGACCTGGCGGCGCTGTACGGCCGGCTGCCGGTGGTCAAGATGCTGGTGAACGCCCACCCCAACCTCATGAGCTGCAGCACCAGGAAGCACACCCCCCTGCACCTGGCCGCGCGCAACGGCCACAGGGCTGTCGTGCAGGTGCTGCTGGAGGCCGGCATGGACGTCAACTGCCAGGTGAGAGGCTCCGGCTCCTCCGGAGTGGGGCCTGCGAGTGGACGCGCGCTCAGACAGACCTGCAGCCCTGCAGAGCTCTCTTGCCCCGGGGTCTGAGGGTGACTGCTAAAACCCTCTGACAATGTAGCCGTGGTCAAACCTCAGCGAAGCACAGGGAGAGCGTGGTCAAAACTAAAGAAGAGAGGGGACTGGCAGAGCAAGGCAAACTGGGGAGTTCTTGCATGGGAAAGGCATGGGGAACCTACTGTATGAATACAGCATGCATACACATTCACCTGGGTAGACTTACTGTACGTACATCCAGGACTTTCTGGAGTCTGGATTTTGACCTGTTAAATGCATCCTGCCTCTCTAAAACCACGCTTCATAAATTATTCATCTGAAATAGAGACGGACTGTTACGAACAGGCTCTATAGTCCGTGTCGGGTGTTATGTCAGACCCTTTGCGAAGCGGTAAGAGCTGAAGGAGACAGGAGGCGGAGTACGGGAAGACACACAGGGGTTTAATGGTGCAGTAAAGTAACAGTGATAGTCGGTGGGACGGTGAACGGGGAGACAAAGAGAGGCTTCCAAGCAGGTCCGAAGGCAGGTCAGGGCACAGTCCATGAGTCCATCAACAGTAGATCCATCCTGGGACACAAGGTTAAAATTCCTGGGAAGGGGGAAAAAAAACGAACACACGGAAAACATGCAGGTCCTGGGATGACGGGGTGAGTTCCTCCAGACCCCGGGCTCAGAGAACGGGAGGTGTCGAGGACGAGGCCTGTGCCCTCAGGAGACGGACGTAGGGTATCCTGGTGCTAGGCGGGCCTGGTGACATCCGTACCCTAATGCTGAGCCCTGAGCCCTGGAGGAGCTAAGAATAAATAGGGGGAGACACAACAAGGCACTCCTGGAACACAGGCGAACGATCACAGGGGACTACTGACAGGAGCAAAAGGGAGTGCCCTCTAGGGGAGTTAACCCCAAACCTCTGGCCTCGTCACTTAATCCTTTACGCAGATATGGCCCTTCTAACCGATAAAACTGAAATCAGGAGACAGAACCTCAGGTCACGCACGAATGATCTACGAGGGAAACCCAGACTCAGGCCACACGAGGGCGAGAGTCTCCTGCAGCCCCAGGGAAACGCGTTCTCTTACTGCGCACAGCTGCGGGCACAGTGCTGCTGCTCCAGTGTGGACGACTCGGGCCACAGCAAAGCAGGAGGATACATCACAAAGTCAGAGATGAACTGGTACATGCTTAAACATGGAGCGCACAGGCTGCCGAGCAGAGAGTTATCAGGGCAAATGACAGCTGGACTAATCGGGAGAGATTATCTAAGTGGAAAAATATTTAACGCCTTGGCATGAAAGCTTTTCTTTAACCTGAGTCTTTGTAGATCTTTCTGTTACAATGATCTTTGCACTACAAAAATAGAAATCACAGATCAGGCTTACTTTTAATGAACTAAAGCCGTGACATGCTGGTGTAAGTACAGAGCAGACTTCTTGGTTATCTGCACTGTAATTACAATGAAAAACAAAACTCACGTCACCCTGCTTTGTTCTGTGAAATTCCTGGGAAATAAAAGGGTAAAGTAAACCAATTAAGAATGCATACAGAGCTGAAAACATAAACAGGAAACCAGGTCAGAACTCATTCAGAAGTTATATTAGACAGTTTGTTAAACTATGTTTAATGTAGGTTTCTTTAACAACTTATCCCTGCAAAAGTACAACTCTGATGTTGATTGAGTCAACTGATTTACTGTAAGAGAGAGCGTGCCAGCACTTGCATCTGCGATTTTGTAAAAAGTTTGTGCTGAAGACAAAGAGAGGCTTCCTTTGAGTAGGAGTGACCAGAATGAGAGAACAGTGATGCCAGTGCATTGTATCAGGCTGAATTCGGTTTAAATACTGTAGCTCCCGCAAGTCAATCTGTGCACTAGGCATGTGAGTGGTATGAACATAATGATAATTGCAGAATATGTGAGGCAATCCATCCTTGCACGAATCTGAATTATTAATGCATTTGCATCAGGATGTAGTGTTTCTTCAGGACGGCCCCAGTCGGAGAACTGCTGTATTCCCAACAGAAGCAATTGCAGTGGGGTTGGAGTGGAGAAGCCAAGTGCACTATGCATGCTGGGAGAGAAGCATTGTAACGAGGGCTGAGAGCCGTGCCTGGACTGGAGATCTGAGCAGCAGACACGAGCCGAGTGTGTTCTGAGAGGGCACAAGAAAGCCCAATAAGCGGCAGTTTTATTATGGGAGAATTATTGATGCTGTGACTGTTCCCAAATAACCCATATATCTCATATACTTTATAATGAAGCCACTTCCACTGTGTCACTTAGTTATCAGTAAGTGGGAAAAATTGCCAGCATCCGTATTTGGTAACGTGGCAGTCTGACTAGACAGCAAGCGAACATACTGTACAGTGGCAGTGAATGGCTCGAGACGACACTGTTACAGGACTCTCAGGAGATTAAAAGGAACAAATGAGGAGGCCATCCATCCCATCTAGACTGTCTCGTATTGTGACAGAAGGGAAGAGCGCAGCTGCAGGTGTATTTTTTCCTAATTGGAGTGTTAACAACACAAAACACCGAGACAGACGATTAGGTAAAGAACTGGCCTCTCCAGCACTTTTTAGATGAATACTTGTATCAAATAAGGCACAGCAACATCAACTAAAAAAAATAGCTCTTTCTGTTGAGCACTGGCTCCTGCGTCTGTTGGTTTGCTGCCTGCTGCTGGACAGCCAACTGGTTTACCAGCCCATTAAAGCCTCAAGACAATACAGAACTATACAGATTAAAAGAAAAATGGTAACAGAATTGTCTGTTCCAATCAGGGGTCAAAACACAATGGGAAATTTCTCTTCTAACATTTTCAAGAGTTTCCAAAGTTAATTACGTTCTTCAAAACGTTCCAGTTTTTCTCTCTTCCTTCAGTGGTATATTAACCTCTCCTCTAACACTCTCAAGTAGCATTTTTATACCTGTAGTAATTACTGCAGTACAGGTAAGCGAGTTCAGCTGGCACTCATTTCCTTTTCTTGTAGCTAAGGATTCTGGACCTTTTAGTTCCCAGACTGCTCTACTCTCCATTTACAGGAATATACACTACTTGCCCTCTCTAACTCTTCTCTTCACTCTACCATAGTAGTAGACTACCGGTAGGTAGTCTATAATTATTTGGAACAGTGGATTTCTATTTCTATCTATGAAATTATATGACCCTGGAGTAGATTTCAAGATCCATACACAAGGTCGTATCACATCAGTTTTGGGCTCCTGAGCAATCTCAGCCAGGGACAGCCTGTGCTGGCATTGCTGTCCAGGTTGCAGGTTCAGATTTGGGGTTGGTCATAAGGACATAAAGAAATAAGAAAGGTTACAGATGAGAGGAAGTTATTTTTAACCCATCTAGTCTGTTTGACCCAATTATCTGATCCAGACGTTTCTTGAAAGTATCAGCTTCAACCACAAAGCTGGGTAGTGTGTTCCACGCTGTCACAACCCTTTGGTTAGAGAAGTGCCTCCTGCTCTCGGTTTTAAATGCACTTCCATTGACTGTAGTTTCCTCTTGTGACTTCACATGATCTGCAGCTGTGAAAGTGAGCACGCACCTTTCCACACTGCATCACGCTAGGCCTGAGCGTGTTTGAATAGAATGGGTGTTAGAGTGTAATGTAGAGTCAGCTTCGTGCAACACACAGCTTTTGCACTGCAGTGATCACGGAATATGTTCAATGGAATGAACAATGAAAATTCAGGAGGTCAAACCCCAGATCTTGGGAATTGCCAGGTTATTTTAGGAAATACAGTACGAGGCTCTAGTTCACTATTTCCCAGAGATCATCATGCGAACACTCATCCCCAATGGTGAAGAAATACAGGAACCTCTTGGAACCTTATGGCCAAACAGTCATCCCTTAAACTATGAGAAGTCAAACTATCACCAGAACCTTCTGCAGTCCTATTGTTGGGATTTGTCTATATCTTCTGAAAAAGAGCTTGACGTTTGCCAGAATGCTCTGTGATGTGCCCAAGGATGCCCTGCTGTTTGAAACATGCCTTCGACTTCAGAGGGGCTGCTTTTTAAAGTCAAACTCACGGGCACTTTCACCACATCAGGGTGTGAGAGAACGACTCTCCTGAGCTCCTTCTGCACTGCAGCGAAACCCACAGGTGGAGCTAAACTGTCCGGAAAGCACATCCCCACATCTGTTGAGTTGCTGGAAAACCGTGCCGAGTAAATCGGTTCCCTTTCTGTGATCAGCCCAGGAAACACGACAGGAGGAGGTCCCGAAACAGACCAGCCTCAGCGTCCTGTGCTCGCGATCGGGCGCCCCTTCTCTGTCACAGAGACCCCGGAGTTTCAGTGGCGTGTGGGCGGAGGGCGGGGTCTCCTGCTGTGCTGTACCTGCACTGGCTTGCAAAGGAGGGTAGCGCCCAAGGAGAAACGGGCTCTTTCTCACTCCTCCACTGGACGGGAGCGATCGCATCAGCGCTGATCCACAGACTGCTGGGCGTCTTCGGTCGTCTTGCTGTGTCCAGGGAGTCTCGTGGTGAAGGTACTCATAGCTCTGTCGTACATCTGCAAGGACCTGGGCCTGACTGAGCAAGTTTCTGTTCTTATTTACACTTCTGTTTTACCTGGCTGAGGCACATGCATTCAGAGCTCAAAACACAGCTATAATGACTCGGCTATCAAAGAGGAAATTTCCAATATTTTCACTTTATTTTATATACGGTAGTACCTTTTAAAAGTTCCATCTCGAAGTGCTTTACAGTAGGTGTAATCAACAAAATAAGTACATATAAGTAAGACAATCAGAAGTGCAGCAGAAGTTAGAAAATGGAGCAGACAAAGACACTAATTAAGCAAACGTCTTTTTAAACTGAAAGGTTTTGAGTCTGGATTTAGGGTAGCTGACTCAGTCTGGCAATCTTTCTGAGATGGAAAAATGATGTTTTTACAATCTTCTGCACATGAGTGTCAAAAGTCAAGCCAGGATGAGATATCACGCCTAAATTCTTCAATGTGGATTGAAATTCAAGCATAGTGCCATCCACAGACTGCATTTCTTACTTAGAAATGGCATTAATCAATTAGTTCAGAAAGATACTGTATGTTCTGTGTCCCTTTGCAAAGGAAAACTCAGATAGTTTGCTTTTAGATTTTTATATGAAGAAAGATATGAAGCCGTGTTTTTTTCACTTTGAAAGGGGCTTGTGGTGTATAATCATGTAGCTCATCTATGTACCAAGCATACTTATGTCGAGCTGTGGGTTAGTGATATGAATAGAAAATATGCTGGCTGGCTTTTTAAATGCGCTCCTGTGTATCCTCTTAAAAAAACTCCTTATGTGAATGTACTGTAGCTGTCATGGTGGCATCTGTGAAGATCACAGGTTGAGATTAAGTCCGAGTAAAACAGAAAACCCGTAAAAAGACAAAGCTGTGACTGGGAGACACTGCTTAAACCGGTGAGCAAAGCAGAGCAACATGTTTGGTCTGGAGATGTGTAGGCTGCTGGAAAGGAAAAACGTCTCTCACGGGGGTTAGGCATTTCCAACCGGTGTGGTTAAAATGGTTTTTAAGAAGTCACGCATTCACACATTCACACATTCTGCTACATGACACTGCAGCCCAGGTTCTGCAAACGCGGCGGCTCATGACCTCGAAACGGAGTCATGTCTGAAGGAAGGTGAAACACCACAAAAAGTTTTTTTTTTTAAACTTTGAGTAACATCTCTGTTTTCCCAGCTGCGCAGGCACCAGACTCAGCTCTGCTAGTCCTGGCTGGGGAGGGAGATACAAAATAAAAACCTTAATATTCTGTGTTTCTCTGACCGTGTCCTTCTGTCCTGTTTGTGGTTGCAGACGGAGAAGGGCAGCGCTCTGCACGAGGCGGCCCTGTTCGGAAAGGTGGACGTGGTTCGGCTCCTTTTGGAGACAGGTGAGCTCCGGACACGCCGCCCGCGTCACGTCGGGCACGGCCACACTCCCTCAGCGCGGAGAGGGGAGACTGAGAAGGGGGGCTTGGCTATCCTACCGCCACCCCCTGCCTTTTGTGCGGCAAAGTCCTCTTCCACCAGTTCCTCCCCTTCACCCAGCTTCGAGCTCCGAGGAGACTCGGCTTCCTTGCAGGCTCGTCATTTCGAAATGCTGCACGGTGCAGCTGCATGCTTTAACTGCTGTGGGCTCACGCCGCGGTGCCCTCCACAGATACTATCAGGGTATCCCTCACGCACACGCCTGGGGGCTGCTTTGTAGTTTTCCAGTTCTATAGCAATGGAAATCGATTTGGGGGCTTTTTAATTCGACAACGTTTACGGCGAGGGTCTTCCCCCCACACCACCCCGAGAAGAGGGGAGACACGTATAGACATCCCGATAAATGAATGAAAATCTGTCTCTCTAGAGCAGAACAAATCCAGTATGCAATTTCCATGATAAACAGTACAGTATATAGGATTAGTATAGTAGGGATGAATATTAACCGTGCTGTCACCGTTACACAACGCTAAAAGCAGAGCCGAACAGACTTTGATTCTGTTTTGCGTGTATGAAATAAAAGTTAGCATCACAGACCGCTGCTGTTTCGCACTTGAGAGGGTACGTTAGCTTAGAGTAGCTAATTTTGACCAGGGTGGCGAGTGCATACAGTATATCGTCTTTGTCTTAAAGTGAGAGTTATCGAAAAGCTTATGACCTGTTTTAAGAACAAGTAGTCGAAAAAAATAAGACGAATTGATATTTATTCCCATTAATCATAACGCTGACAGGTGTTCCTTGGAAACCCTGTATTTTATGCTTTTTTATTTCATATTTTTAACTTTTTATGTTTTTAGTCAAAGTAGGTTGTGCCCTTCTGGTGAGCAATAGCTGTCCTGGCTGCTGACTTTGTATACACCCATCATATTTAGACAACGTTGACATGTTGTTATTTTCATGTTTTCTGTGTTCTGAGACACTAACAGTCAATTATATTAAATTAAATTTAGTCCCAACTACTGTAGGCACCACAAGTGCGTGCTCTTCGATTCGTTGTAACCCTGACAGGTGGTCCTTGTAATATATTTATACTGTATAAAGCATTTGAGTAGGTTGAACTGCAGCGTGCAAAATATTTGAAAAGGAAAGGATGGTTTGTGCTGTGTACAAGATTTCAAGGATTAAATACAATAATGTATTTTATGATCATTTAAATCAGTATACTGTATATGTATATTTTATATGTACTATACTGTATAGCATATTATTTTATTTTTCTGTTGCATGTATTCAGGATCTCCTGATATATGGTTATTGTAGCTCACAGCTCTTGGGTCCTGGTTCAATTCCGCCCTGGAGTGCCTGTCTGTGAGGAGTCTGCATGCTTTCCTTGGCCTCGTGGGTTTTCTCCAGCTGCTCCAGTTTCCTCCCACCTTCCAAAGACATACGTAGCTCGTTTTCATCTACTCTCAACTTCAGGCCTGAGTCTTTTTTTTCCCCCATTTGAGGATTGTTCCTCAGTGTTGTTCCTTGTCCCTGGGCCAATTCACAGTACTCGCTCCACGAAGATCCCCCCTCCCTCCCGTGCGTGTTTGTACAGTACGTGATCCCTGCAGGGTCGCAGTTCACTAAGACGCCTGGTCCCCGCTGTGTCAGGGCCGCGCTGTCTTGGTCTGGCCCAGGGCCGGGGCTTAGAGAAGCAGTGCTCATCTCTGTTCCCATAACCCTGGCGGGTCTGCTAGCAGGCTCGTAGCTCCTGCAGAGATCTGTCTGCTCGGATTTGCAAGAGGAGTCTGATTTCTGCCCCCTTCTGCTGCCCGGTAATGGACTCTGTTTCAACAGTGTTTGTCCGATCCGCTTCAGTACGTGGCTTCACCCGCTGTGTTCGCCGTAGTAAAAGAATAATTGAAGTTGTATTTCCATCGGATATAAAATATGCTTTCATGTTGAAAGTTGATTCATTTTTCACACATTCCTGGGAATGCAGAGAAAGAGGCTCTGACAGGAGACAGTAAAAATACTGCACTGTTTGCAAAAGGAGAATTCCGTAACATGCTGAGGTGCACTTTTCCACAATTATAAAGATACGCTGAAAGACCACCATGAAGGAAAGCTTTCTGGCTGCAGATTCATTTCTTCTTAGAGAGATTTCAAAGAGCCATTTATGATGCTGCCTTCAGGTTTCTCCAGTAGGATTCTG